CGGCAGTTTGGAGAAGTATTTGGAGCCTTGCGGCAGTTTGGAGAAGTATTTGGAGCCTTGCGGCAGTTTGGAGAAGTATTTGGAGCCTTGCGGCAGTTTGGAGAAGTATTTGGAGCCTTGCGGCAGTTTGGAGAAGTATTTGGAGCCTTGCGGCAGTTTGGAGAAGTATTTGGAGCCTTGCGGCAGTTTGGAGAAGTATTTGGAGCCTTGCGGCAGTTTGGAGAAGTATTTGGAGCCTTGCGGCAGTTTGGAGAAGTATTTGGAGCCTTGCGGCAGATTGGAGAAGTATTTGAAGCCTTGCGGCAGTTTGGAGAAGTATTTGGAGCCTTGCAGCAGATTGGAGAAGTATTTGGAGCCTTGCGGCAGATTGGAGAAGTATTTGGAGCCTTGCGGCAGATTGGAGAAGTATTTGAAGCCTTGCGGCAGTTTGGAGAAGTATTTGGAGCCTTGCAGCAGTTCGGAGAAGTATTTAGATCCCTGCAGCAGTTTAAAGAAGTATCTGCAGTCTGGTAGATCTCTGGATTGTTTGATGAGCTCTCGTTGAACTCAGCCTTTTTTTTGAGAGGAGGCTTAACCTCTGCCAGGTCCAAGAGGGAAGTGAGTGTAATCCGCTCAGCATTCCTCCTCTTTGCTGCCTGGGAACGGCGGTATCCTTTTCCACGTGGCATCTATATTACATGAAAACACACACAGAGACACTATTTTAATACAGTGTTTACTACATTGCATTTTAATAAATATCCTGTCAAATATATTTAATATATAATGCAGCAAAAATTCACAGCAACCAAAAATGTCATAAAACACATTGTGTGTAATTCATTCAAAAATTTGCATTACAAAAATGTTTTTAAAGCACTCAAACAATAAGCAGCCATTAAACAAACTCCTAAATTACTAATCTAAAACTATAAATTCACAAATCTTATTGTATTGATGTACATTTTGGAACACCTGAAATGAAAACCATTTTAATACCTGAATAAAAAAAAATAAAACAATTGCATGTACATTAGGGATGTAGAATATGAAAAATATATATATTTTATCTCAATACTTTGACAGTTTTTTCATAATAAAAATGAATTGATTAGAATTAATATTATAGTTTATTCTATTATAATGTTATATATTATAATCAGTTTAATCTATTTTAAGCATGCATATACATTTGTACATTTACAAAAATGTTTTTAAAAGCACTCAAAAAATAAGCAGCCATTAAACAGACTCCTAAATTACTCATATAAAACTATAAATTTACTCATCGTATTGATGTACATTTTGATCACATTTATAATCACATGAATATTTGTCACCCTAAAAAGAACACAATTTACTATACATCTTGACTATTCAGGAAAAAACAACATTAGTTACAATTTAAAAACATTAGTTACACTGCTGAATAATTAAGAACATTAAAAGTCAAAATTGCACACACCTGAACACAAACAGTGAACTTAGTATTGAATTGACATTTACATAATTCTGTCAAATCAAAGCTTCTACAATTATCACTGCTTCCTCTAAAATGTACAAGGCCTGCATTTTTAACTAGAACAATTAAGTTTTGCATGCTTACCTTAAGAAAGTCTTCTGAAAGTCTTTCTTTTGAAAGTTTAGAAAGTCTTCTGAAAAGAACAAAAAGATCCTATTCAATACATTATATACAATTGCAGTGAACTGCTAATAATAATATATCAAGTAACTTCAGGGCAACAAAGTTTTATTTTACTAGCTTAAATAAATACAACTGTATGTCAAAACTAGTAATAATCAAATGTGTTTTTAAAATCGAAATAAAATGTACATTATTTGTCATGTTTTTTTTACTTAATTTTTATGTTATTTTTACATTAAGATTGTATAATTTGTTTGTTCCGTTTTTGATAGCAGCATAGTAAATCTGCTAAAATATCACCATGCTACTCTTATACTTTTGATAACAGATGTTTCAATATAATGTTAACTTTCTTTGTAAAAGCATGCTTTAAGATTTTACTCCAAATGTCACATCCATAAAGCTGGAATTGCTCATACATTTGCAATCACAGGAAAAGTATATGTTGAGTATATGTTAAGTATGTTTTTTTTTATATATTAAAACATCTGTTTATATTTTCCAAAGCAACTAACCACAAAGTTAATGGAATTACAAAAATATCAATCTATAAACATTTTTCATAATTTATAGAAAAAAAACAAACATGCATTATGAATGTCACCAAAAAAGTATGAAAGTTTACAGTATACAACATAGTTTGTAAAAATTCTGCAAATTTAACTGCACAATCCAAAAGAAATTATGCTAATCAAATGGATAACAGTTGGCTTACTATAGAACAAAATGAATGATTTTTATTTTATTTAACATTTTTGGATTTATGAAGAAAACGCTTGGTTATGGATGTGACGTGAAACTGGCACCTATGAAACTTTGATAAATTACATGTAATTGTTTGAAAACATTGACAAAAACATGTTTGAAGATTTTTACAGTACTGTACTAAACAAACCTAAGGAAACAACATAGATATTTTTTCACTATTTTGGTAAAAACATTTTCAGGATAAGGTTGACATTTGCATGGAATTCCTTTTATATACAGTATGTCACAAAAGTGAGTACACCCTCACATTTCAGCAAACATTTATGTATATCTTTTAATAGGACATCACTGCAGAAATGAGTTTGACAATAACTGAAAGTTCTACATGGCACATCATGGCAAACCATTCTCAGAACACCTGGGAAAAAAAAAAAAACGAATTGTTGCTTTACATAAAAATGGCCTAAACTATAAAAAGACAGCCAACACTCTGAAACCGTGCTGTAGTACAGTGGTCAACAACATCCAGCGCTTTACGATGACAGGTTGTTCTCAGAACAAGCCTTGCCATGGTCAGCCACAGAATTTCTTTGATGCAGTATTTACTAAAACATATCACATGACACTTTACTTACCTGATCTCTGCTGCAGTCATTCCATATTTCCAAAAAAGCAAAGAAACATAAATTAGTCAACTATAATGCATACTACTAATTAAAAGAGACATTTCACTATTTGTGTTGAATTGATAAAATCTTACACAATGTTAGTTAACTTCAAACATGTAAAGCAGCTATTCTAACAATCAAATAAATTGTCACCTTTCACTACAAGTCATCATCTTGTTAAATCAATGCTTACGTAATACGATATGTGTATAGTAAATATTATGGGCACAATCAATAAAAAATATCATTATAAATTATTTTGTCATCACATACTTTCTCAGTCTAAAATAACAATGCAATGCAACTATGTAACTTAGTAACTGTTAAATAGGCTTACGTACTTTATTTCAATTACACAGTAACAGTTAAACAATATCCTAACGCGATTAACACGATAACACGCATATAATCTAACACTAATCCCATAATTAATCATCACGCGATGCTATAGTGAAAATATAAACAAATTAAGTTACCTATATTCGTTTGCATAACGCATGAATCACTAAACGTAAAAAACTGTTCCACAAACAATCATCGCCATTCATTTGTGCAAGTTCAACAAGGCCCACCGAACACTTAAATGCTTAGTGATCATTTTAACGGTGCACAGAATGGCGCGGTTACGCTCACTTTGGACACGTATTTTCATGTCAATGTTCATGAAGGCCAATTTACGTTCGCAAAACATTTTTTGAAGCCCATAAATACAACCGACAGAGACTTGACGCTTATGCAATACTTTTTTTATCATTAAAAACTCTCAAATAATGTAAATGATCTCCTCGTTACCGTCTTTACAAAGACGCTTAACATAGGCGTCATATTGAAGAAATAACACCCCAGTTAACTCTACAAACGTATCAGTCAAAAGACAAACAGTTTAAATACCAGAAAATATAAGTGATACGAAGATATACAACACTGATTAATAAGAAAGCAAGAAATTTGTCTTACCGCTTCACAACACAAAATGGCTGAAGACTCGTTCCTGAAGGATTCGTTTATTTAGAACAAATCTTTAATTTGATTCTCCTGCCAGGTAGTGATTCTTTCCCGCATGCGCAGTAGCCTATAAACATTAAGCTACAAAAGATTCGTTTGTGTACCGAATCCTCGGATTTTTTCAATCATTCATTCTTTAACACGTGATTTTACAGGAAAACGGAAATGTAAAATTATTAGGTACAAATTAATATTACATTATGGAACAATCTGTTATTACCTATTAAAACGGCTTCTTCACTACCAAAATTTAAATCTTTGGTGAAACGCATTTCTTTGTGCTTTTGATTGTGTGTAACCTTATGTATTTTGTTTTAATATACTTTTCTTTTTTTTTCTAAAGTTTGTACAACATTTTGGCAAGTAAGGTTGATTAAAAATGTGCTTTATAAATTAAATATTATACCACTTCATTTGTATGTTACACATTTTTAATTGAAATCCATTACATCAGCAAACAGTCTCCCATTGTCTAGAACTGATTTTTTTTTTATAAACAGCAGGCATAATACAATCTTCAAGGTTACAAAAGTACCTATTTTGTTGATTACGCTTTCACATGAATTCTAGTTTAATACAACAACTCTTTTACATTAAAAATACTACTGTCTTTTACCCATGGCTTTTTTTTTTTACATATGCAACAACTTTGATGTTTGCGCACATTTAAAAAAAAAAAAAAAAAAAAAACCACAACAGAACAATTTTTTTTGAGGACGTATGACTTAATCATTAAAAAGTATTTTGTGAAGAAATATCCACTTTAAGTCACAAAAGGTTTTAGATTTCTATTAATCGCACTGAGATTATATTACTTTCAAACAGCTTCAATATTTTTCATACTGCATATTGAAAAACACATTTGCTTTTTTCTTCCTTGACTAACTGCTTTCACATTCACATATTGTATTTTTTTTTAATTTTACACTTCATATTTCTCAAATGTCACAAAAAAAATAAAAATTACTATATGAATCAAACCACAACTGTTCACACACAGGCACACATTTATTGCACATCTAATAATTTACATAACACGTCTTGTACATAATGTTTTACAATAAAAATAAAATAAATAAAATACACACTTTTTTTTTTTTTTTTTTACCAAGAACAGACTGTTATCATCTGTATTTCTTGGAAAAACTTCTTAAAACTTAAGCTACATTTTTTCCCCCAGTCTTTTTCAAATATTGCACATTGTTAAAAAGTCCCACTTAACGTTCAACACAACTCCAGTCAAACAATGAATCCAATCTAATAATTTACATAACACGTCTTGTACAATGTTTTACAATAAAAATAAATAAAATACACGCTAAAAAAATTTAACTAAGAACAGACTGTCATCATCTGTATTTCTTGGAAAAACTTCTTAAAACTTACGATGCATTTTTTCAGTCTTTTTCAAATATTGCACATTGTTAAAGTCCCACTTAACGTTCAACGCAACTCAAGTCAGTCAAACAATGAATCCAAATTGTCAAACTCATCCTTTTCCCCATTAGAGACTGCTGCTGCTGCTTCATCACTCCCATCTTTAGGAGCATCTACAGCATCATCTTTCTTCACAAACAAAACCCTGGTGATAAACTCCCTCCACATTTCCACCTTTAGATCATCATGCACAAGCAGCTTTGCAGCTAATGCATGTGAATCCAGATTTTCCCGTCCATTCAAATTTAAAAGTTCCCGAATTTCTGCATCATCCAAAGGAATTCTGCGCTGCACAAAATCCACAGTGATTCCTATGTGACCACGCATCTCAACTCTAGATTTCGAAGTCTTACAAAAAGAAGCACATTTTGTGCAGCGGGTCATGTGTGTGGCAACATTAATGTTTTCCAACAGGTGGTGTTTTGGACAAAAATGGTCTACTTTGACTTCTGCCTCAACTATCTCTCCGACGACTGAAGTTACATCTTCCTCAACAAATTCTTTTGCGGGCCCAGAATTTTCAACCACACTTAAGCTAGTTTGCATCGTTGTACTTAATGATGTCATCCCCTTAAACACTCTTACAGACACATTCGTCAAAATATACCATTCACCTATTGTCATTACATGATCACCCCAAAGACTCAGCAAAATAAGGTCACTGCTGTCAGCCACAACAACACTCTTCCTGCGCAGTTTCTGTCCCCGCACCACACTTTCTTTGTCCTGCAGCATTCGTAACACTTTGACTTTCACAGTGACCTGAAAAACACAAAAAAAAATTCACTCAATATTATACACACTTTCTGCCTTTAAAATTTTCTAGCATCATTTCAAAAGTGGAATCTCAGGTGCAATACACCGTAAATGGCAACAGTTACAAACACTTAAAACAAAATGAATCAATTGTATTCATCTCTACACAATATTCTACACTGTCTGATGCCAACTCTTTTGTACAGCTATTTCTTAGAAGACTTGTTACCAACAAAGCAATAAAGTTTCTTTGTTTGTTAAGGATCTCAATTTTTACACCATTTACATGAATACGCTTTACTTTTAAAACACATAACTTTTGCAATGGTTACACTTTCCATCCACACTACAAGAGTTTTCAACCTGAAATATATTTTTACACTGAAGAGGCAGTGTACATTTAAAAATGCTGGTACTACACGTCACTGTGGATGTAGGAAAACGAGCACACCTGAAAACATGTGCATGTCTCTACCTAATTCAGGCAGTTTCTTAATATCAAGTACACAAGGTTTAAACTAGCATCCTTTTCAGAGTTCACACTTTGCAAGGCTTACAGAGAAACACTGCAGAGTATATCTACAAACACATTGTAGGCTACTGAATGTCATTTGCATCACACTAGCTTATCACTATCTTAACAATGAACACTAGTTGCCTACAATAAATATTATCTGAGAAAATGCATGGTGAATACAGCCGTCTCTTTTGCAGAAAATCAGTTTTAATAAATCAATAATGGCCATTATAAAAGTATACTTTATACAATATAGGAAATTAAGCCAAGCAAATCCCTTATATGCAGTGTATGTTATGGTTATAATTTAATATTGCATAATATTTTGCCCTCAGGCAAAACATATTACCTAAGAATAATACAAAAGAACAATCATTCAATAATAATACTAATAATAAAAAAAAAAAAAAAAAAAAAAACACAACATCTTACATAGGGCTGGGCAATAACTGGATGTAGATAATGATCACGATATAAAATTTTTAAATAAAACAATGACGGTTCGATAATATTTACGCACTATGCGTATTTGAAGGGTATTTAAGACAATAACATGCTTTGATGTCAAGCTTATGTTTCCTTTTTAATATTAAAATATTTGTTTTGAAATCTGTAATACCACTATTGTCTCTCATCGACAATAAAAGAACCTTTATATATTTAAAGGCTGGCTCCCCGCATGTTTTTGTTCTGATGTGCGATTTGTAAAATGAAATATGCATACACCTATTCATGCTATTCTGTTAGACAAATTTGGTTAACACGCACAGATATAATCATAGATATGCACATAAGGTTTTATGCGATCCACAATATGAGATTTCAAGAGGGTGACCGCATAAGGTAAACTGCACACACATGATTATGTAAAGTGTGGATGAGTCTCAGCACAAAGCATCACTAACCCTTTACATGTCCATGCTTAGTCATCGATAAGGTCTGTCAATTAAAAGCGTTGTTGACCACCAATAAATCAAGTAATCATTAGCATCCCTAAATAAAATACATTAAAAGTATTTCACCCTAAATTCACCACTCACCGTTAAAAGGAAAGTTCATTCAAAACTCAATATTCTGTGACTATTCACTCACGTTGTTCCAAATCGGGTTTTTATTATCATTATTTTTTTTTTCTGATGATAAACAATATCCAATAATCTGTACATAATGTCTTTGGTTGTTGAAAACTTACATGCAAATGCTGAATTAATATTGTTCTTTTGTTTATTATTTATATTGTTGACAGCGAACACATTTCACTACATGTGTTAAATCAGTTGCACAAAGCCATTGGCATGCTGAAAATCTTATATAATTGATAAATATAAAGATTTTACATTTGAGATAAATATCGATAGACTAATATGAAAAAATCATCATGATAATTTTTTTGCCATATCGCCCAGCTCTACTCTTACACATACAAACTAAACATCACGTCAAACATTCAGCAGCAGATCACAGATGCACTAGCCAACAGCCCGCAGCTCAGATGTCAGAATACACTCAACCAACTTTAATGCTAGTGCAGGTTTGGCCACATAATGTACATTTTCCATCATATAGTTTGCACAGAGACCTATTCAGGGATGCAAAATGAAACACCTATAGAATATTTTCATTCTAAGAATCGTTTTAAAACTACTACGCATCAGTGTAAATGGGGCCTTAGACGATACAGAAACTACCACATCCTTTAAAACTTTTTTTTTTTTTAACCTACCCTCTGGTACTCTCTGACATCCCGCTGTATGTCACTCAAACTCCTCACAGGGGCTCTTGAAGTCAAGCCATCTTCCCGTGCAAATTCCAGTCGCCGGAGAACAGACACCTTTGTCCCAGATTTGACCAACAGATCATTAGTGTTGTTGTGCTGTTTGGAGGGAGAATGCTCCACAAAAGACAACTTGACTGGAGAGCTGCAGAAAACAACATTTTCAGTTATTATTCTTGCTGAAAATGCACTGTATACCCTCTTTACTCGATAAGAATTAGCACTTTAATACAGGATAACCAAACATTAACATTTTATCACTTTTAAACCCATTGAACAACACTTTTTCAATTACAAATATTTTGTAAAAATATCAAAAACTTTTACTGAACTTCAAGTGTTTATACGCAAAGAAAGAGACACAATGCATTTTTTCTATGCTTAAAGACTTGCATGTACCACTAAACAATAATTAAAATAATGCAATTTTTTTACTAAATGCAAAAATTACAAAAAAACAATTGTACATAAATACACAACACAAACCTGAAAACAATTGCCCTAAAAAAACGAAACTACACAGTAAACGGTTACATATCCCCTTGGCACAAACCTATTTAACTTAAGCAAAGGAAAAAAAAAAAAAAAAAAAACATTTACCAGATGGTAAACATTCACTTTTTTTACCTTTAACTACGAAAGTAAATGGCTATATGATTCTAACATTTTAAATATTATTTTCTCTTTAACAGAAACATTAATAAAGATTTAGAACCACTTAAGTGTAATTATACAATAACAAATAAATACATAAAACTTTACTACAATTTTCTGTTTTACTGAATGATCCTTTAAAAGCTACTCACCGGTCTCTTGCAGCACACTGAAAACTGTTGTGCTTTTGCACGTCGAACACAACGACTCTGCTGTTCTGGTTGGCCTCCTGCAGCAAGGCCGTAAAATAACGCACATTGCTTGATTTCCCTTGTAGGACTTCAGACACGTCATGTACGTAACCCTCTACCTCCAAACACTTCCTCTTTGAGTCAGCCATTACTCTGTGGAACACACGAAAACACATCATATCTTGCCCATATCCTTCTATATCCAGCACATTATTCTTATAGGTCGCCATTTGCAAAGGCTTCTTCAGCTAAACTACAACATGCACCATTACAAATAAATCTGTACTATACAACAATACGCCATTTTACACTGTACGCCGCTCCTATACAACAGTTGGATAAACCAGCTGTTTAAAATTTCACTTAACTTAGCTACACATCTCGCAAAACAGTATATCCATCGTCTACAACAAAGACGGCAACATCCATTAATTACACGTTCACTACAGGGTCTCAAACATTGTTATTTCAAATAAACATTACACGACATTTTGCCACCACCGAAACAATACTTATAGTATAAAAACATACCGTACTAAGATCTCCTATTGTTGCCGCTGTTGAAATTGCTTCGTCTTCTCCTCAAGTCCAATGACGAACGAAAGTCCAACGCCAACCGCAACTCCAAACACTTATACCTGTCCCGGTATCGTTCAAATCCACAATCGCGCCCTCCTATTGGCTCACCACATATACGCGTCGACGTCCGCGTCTGCGCAGTGCGCATACCGATCATTTGACGCGCTTTGCTCCACTCTCTGTATGCTGCCTGATCTGTCTGGTTTTCAACTAGGTCCGCTTAATGACGTCATGGGGGCAGGTACTTTCATTTTCACTGCTACGGTCCCTCACTTCTACTCGTGTTCAAACCAAAAGATCGACCAGTTTTCCACATACATGTTGAGATCGAGTTTATCGACTTGATGAGGAAATATGTCTTGACAATCCACACTGACATGCAACAAGTAAAATCCTACAAGACTTCACGCTTTAAAAGGCAGTCAAGCAAGTCACACACCAGAAGCGCCACGACACGACGCGGACATGACAGTTTAAACTATCACACACCAAACGCACACATTCACATGATATTTAACATTAAACAAATCAGATGGCGCTTTGTGGCCCGTCAGAAATGAGAACTGTTTCTTGAATCGTTGCTGTGCAGCGTCGGTGTGTGTATAGAAACCTGTTTAGAATTCTAAAATCCATGGCGTGGTGCTGTGCGGCACGGCACTGAGAGGCGCTTCTGGTGTGCTTCCTGCTTCATACGGAGAGTGACCCCAAGCGTATCGGTGCCATTATAATATATTATATATATATATATATATATATTTTATTTTTTTTATTTTTTTTAAATCGCGATTTCTCGATTTGATTCAAAATTAAATCGTCTTAACCTGTTAGCCAGCACTCAATTTTGGGGTTTTACACCTACCTAACTTTAAATAGTAACAGATCCTGACTCCAGTAGGCTACAAACACAAATTATGTATCATTGGAAAGAAAACCCTTTGAGTTTTACTGTAGTAAAAGGAGAAGTTACATGTTAAAAAAATACAAAATGTTATACATTATGAAATTATGAGGAAAAAAAAATATTGTGTTCAGTATTACCTACTTTTTCATATACAAACACAGAAAAACATTAATGTAATGTCCTACAAAAACATGACTTGAAAGCCAAGTATTTCATAAGTTTATATTTTTAATTTGATGACAATAGCATGCAAAATGAGATTTCTGTAAAAAAATTTCTGAGGCTATGTCGATGTCCTTCTCTCCCTCACCGTGAGAGGCACTTTCTCCTAAACATGTCATCCCAAAGCTAAAACATTTACAGTGGCTGAATAATTTGGTCTAAATTCAGTTTATGTATCATTGAAAGAAGACACTCTGCCCTTTATTATCCATCATCCAATGTTTATAATGCTCTAAAAGAAAAAATGTTATGGATGCTTAAGTAATGCAAAAAAATAGCCCCACACTAAACATTTTATTATTTCATAAACAAATATGTGAAATCAGTCCTGAATCAACACAAAAAAATGTAATTGCTCAAAAGCTCACATCTCCTGAGTATATGGTTTACATTTGATGCCAATATCATGCACAATGAAATTTCTGGAATTATTTTTGTGAGACCATGTCTTGACATTTTTTTTTCCCTCTCCTTGTTTGTGGAAAAGCAGTCTGATGACCACACATACACTGACGGATTAACACTACACTAATTTTTTTTATTGTGAAATAATAAGCTAAAACGTACAGCATGAATGATTTATTTGAGCCCAAGTAATACATTGTATAAAATAAGTCTAGTGCATAAGCAACAAAAAAGTCTTATACAAGTTGTTCTTCTGCTCTCAGTCACTAACAGAACATTCTTCACTCCATCTCCAACTTCACATCACTTCTTCACTCGTGCAGAGATTCAGCTACATGACAAAAAAACCTAAAAAACAACAGAATTAGGATTCTATAGTAAACAATTGTGTTTTCCCTTTGAGTAGCAAACAGGATTTACTCTCATGCCCATTTATACAAATGTTAATTTATACACATAGCTTACAGATCTAACAGCAGCCATTCAGATAAATGGCCAACATGCTGCATAATAATGACAACCATTACTGAAAGATTGTGGCTAACAGAGACACATTCACACTTTAAGGCACAAGCAGGCTAAACACAGAAGACCTGAGACGTAAACAACAAGCAATGACAGTATAATAAGTTACTCACCGTTAGAAAAACCCAAAGTAAAGCTTCATCCACGCGATGCAAGTATCAGCTCTCCTCAGAAATATTCTCCTTTGTTTACTTTTTGCAAACAAGCCGCGCTCTGCGTTAACTTAAGTTGTTATTAGCTGTATATTGACTCCGTGCAAAGGGTAGGTGCATGGAGTGATGATTGACAATTTTATGAGCCAATAACAGCCAGTAACTGAAAAAAGTGTGCAGTGAGATGAAAACCACGCAGCCATTATCTAAATTCTCTGTCAGTAAAACTTCTGGGAAGTGCCTGATTGATAGGAATGACTGAGACATGCAGTCAAATCATCAGCTTTGTTTAGGTTTTACTTATTTTTATTTCGTTGTGGTCTCTTTTTATTTGTGATACTGTAAGCTATGACAGAGCATGTCCAATCAAATGATGTCTGAATTTCACAGGTTAGCCATTTTGGCCGTCACCCATTTTGATTTTTGGTTAAAAATGCTATATTTTACCAACACATTCACATATGATTACAAAATATGGTATGCATCTTCAACCCCATGCCCTGAAAGTACTCAAAAACTTCTGGAGCAGCACCACCTTGAAAAACCTATTTGATCGAACTCGTCCTAGGCCGTTTTTCCGATTTTCACCAAAATTGAATCACATGATCTACAGACCATGCCAACCAAAAGTTATGGAATTCAAGTTGATTTGACCAACCGTTTTCGTTTAACTTGCGATCAAATTTAACAAAGGACTTGCGAAAATGGACTTGAGACGATATCTCCGTAATGCATTCAGCGATTCACACCAAACTTGGTGTGTGTTATGACAACTAGGGTCTGAGGTTACATGCAGAGTTTCGGCACACTGCCCCCTAGTGGTCCGGAGATACAAAAAACTTGCTTTTTGGCTTATAACGTCTCAACCTTTCGTCCGAAACTCATGAAACTGGTCTCATTACATCCGGCAGAGCATGTCGAGTCGAATGATGTCTGATTTTCACAGGCCAGCCATTTTGGGCGTCGCCCATTTCGATTTTTGGCCAAAAATGCTATATTTTACCAACACATTGTCATATCATTACAAAACATGGTATGCATCTTCAACCCCATGCCCTGAAAGTACTCAAAAACGTCTGGAGCAGCGCCACCTTATGGCCAATAGTGCTTGGCCCCTTAATTGCTGCTTGCAGCTATATTTTCCATTATTATTATTATTATTATTATTATTAATTTTATAATAATAATTATTATTAGTACTATTATTATTATTATTCAAATTTTTTATTATTGTTTTATTATTATTATTATTATTATTAATAATAATAATAATAATAATAATTTATTATTTTCTTTTATTATAATTTTTATTATTCTTATTGTTGTTTTATTATCATTAATATTTTCTATTATTATTATTATTTATCATTATTATTATTTCTATTGTCTTATTATTCATATTTATTAATATTATTTTTATTATAATGTTTTATTATACATGTTATTGCTATATTTTCATTATATATATTTTTTATAATTATTTTAAATTATTAATATTATTATTATTATTATTATTATTATTATTAATTCTATTATTATTGTTATTATTATTATTATTAGTAGTAGTTGTAGTAGTGGTGGTGGTAGTAGTATATTATTGAACCATTGGGTTAAAAAGTGTAATTTAAATGTAATTAAAATTAACCCATTGGGTTTGTCCATGTTTGGCTCAATATTGAGTTCTGACAACTCAGTATTTTTAACCGTGTAACATAAAATAATGAACTCTTAACACTGTGTGTGTGCGCGTTTGATTCCTCTTAGTGTGTTTCTGTTGTGTCTGTCTGTGGGTGGATTTCCAATGTGTCTGTATGCTTTTTATGTCTCTGTGTGTGTTTGTGTGTTTCCTCTGTGTTCGTAAGGTGTATATGTGCGTGTGTGTGTGTGTATGTGTGTGTGTTTTTTCTCTGTGTTTCTATGGTAACTTCAGGAGATTCCTGTTGTTCTGGATCTCTTCAGGTGAAATGAATTCACACACACACAGTGAAAAACACTCGTCTCGGGTTTGATAATACACACCGCATGCAAAGATGTTGCCAGCTGTTCTGACATTTTAATCTGTGTGTGTGTCAGAGTGTCTCTCAGAGGTGTGTGTTGTTGTAATTGTGTCAAGCTGGTGAAGTGTGTGAGCAACTACAGAAGTGCAGCGACTGCAGCTTTACCAGCTAGTTAATTAGCTGCACGTGTGTGTGTGTGTGTGTGTGTGTGTGTGTGTGTGTGTGTGTACATCGAGGTTCAGAAGGAAATCGCAGCCACAGCAAAGCATGTTCTGCTTTATTAGACCCTCGTCGGCTTCATGTTTTACTGTGTGTGTGTGTCTGATGGGGCTGATAGTGCTGCAAACACACTCAATCCAATCTAAATGCAGGCACTGACCTGAGATCTGCACATACAGTTGAAGACTGCACAATATATGGTTTCAGCATCTATATCATTCGCAATAGTCCCATCGTTGGATGTGCAGTGTTGAGTTTGTATTCGAGTTGATCATCTGCATGTGTTTTTGAGGCCTGTGACTGTATAATGACGTTCAAAGGCATTTAAAATTGTACCCTTGTACGTTTTAATAATGATTAATTTCATTTAAATATTTTTTATCTTCATAATTACTGTACTTGAATAGCGTTAGACTTGATATAATGATAAAACACTGTTTATTTTAATTGCATCAAATTATTTATTGTGTTTATAGATTGACTATTAGACTATGCAGATGTTCAAGTCATCTGGTAAAATTGTGCGTATTTCGTAATATATACAGGAGAATAACCAAATATCGCAATGCTCGATTTATTATAATTTTTTTCCCCAATGTTGTGCAGCGCTACTTGATTCTGATTGGTTGATCGTGACATTCCACTGTATGTTATTCCCAGATAACAACCACAACCATGCTCGCATCCATATGTATATGCTTGTTTGTCTCTTCTGCTTTTTTTCCGTCTGTTTGGCGCCCTCTTGTGACTGAATGATATGTAGGTTAGTGTATACTTCATCAGCTGTTTCAGTTTCTCTCAGCTTTGCATTATTAGCACCATCTAGTGTCTGAATAATGCACAGGTTAGTGTATACTCCATCAGCAGTTTTCGTTTATGTCAGCTTTGTGTTTTTGACAATTTGGCGCCATCATGTGACTGAATGATATCTAGGTTAGTGTATACTCCATCAGCGGTTTTTGTTTCTCTCTGCTTTGCATTTTTAGCACCATCTAGCGACTGAATAATGCACAGGTTAGTATATACTCCATCAGCTGTTTCAGTTTCTCTCTGCTTTGCATTTTTAGCACCATCTAGCGACTGAATAATGCACAGGTTAGTGTATACTGCATCAGCTGTTTTAATTTCTATCAGCTTTGTGTCTTTTTGACTGTTTGGTGCCCTCTTGTGACTGAATGGTATGTTGGTTAATGGTTAGTGTATACTCCATCCGCTGTTTTCGTTTGGCGCCCTCTTGTGACTGAATGATATGCAGGTTAGTGTATCCTCCATCAGCTTTTTTAATTTCTGTTAGCTTTTGCAGTTTTTTTAGACTGTTTGGCGCCATCTAGTGTCTGAATAATGTGCAGGTTAGTGTATACTCCATCAGCTGTTTTACTTTCTGTCATCTTTGTGTTTAATCAAAGAGTTAATAAACTATTACAGCTCAGAACAATGTTCACACTGTAAAAAAATAAAAAGTTGACTCGACTTAATTGTAAGAGAACTTGTTGCACAGCTTTTCTGAGTTCAGTCAACTTTAACCACTGTAGTTCTGTAGTTGACTCAATTTAAGTTGAGTCAGCTTAATAAAGCCATGCAGTTGCCGTACAATTTAAAGTTGTCAATGTTTCTTTGTTTTGTTTTTATACAGTGCATGTAGTAATCAGGATAATGCACATCCAGCCAGTTGATTTCACACAATGGATGCCTGGATCTAGTGTCTATTGTGAGTAAGGCCCTGTTTACACCAATGCGTTTTTGTTTTAAAACGCATAAGTTTTGCTACGGTTACGGCAACCGTCCACACTACGCCGGAGTTTTCGAGCGCCGAAAACTATGCGTTTTGGAAACACTGGAGAGGCTGTTTTTATTCCAAAACGCTGTTGCTCCGTCTCAGTGTGGATGGGGGAAAACGGAGACATCTGAAAACGGAGGCGGGGCTGCTGACATTCGCCTCTCTGATTGGTTCTTTTCCTCAATATTAAGTAGCCTAACGTTACACACAGTTACACAGCTGCAGTCTCCATCTCCTCAGTTTGAAATGGAAAACAGACTACTGAGGACACGGGTAAATCTTCAAAGGGAACAGTGTACTTTATAACTTCATTCACATCACCCTGCCTAAGTTGTTTCCCTTTCTCAACAATAGAATGAAAACACAGGGCTCGAAATTGCGACCATTTTGGTCGCATATGCGCCCGAAATTTTACCTATGCGACCTTAAAATATATTTGGGAGCATTTCTGCAAGTGCTTAAAATTGTTATGTGCGACCAGTTTTTACTGTAAAATGTTCACCACATGCGCGGATTCGGGAGACATTCACGCAGAATGCATCTCTGCACTTGAAAAGTGAAACGCAGCGCTCAGGAATGGTTTAAAACAGTTGTCATGTCAACTTGCTGCAGTAAACAAAGCCAAGTCCGTAATGCGTGCCCCGCCTTCACGCTCTTCTTATTGGCCCACTGCTCTAGCACTGAACGCGAATGATTGGTTAATATCAGCTGTCAATCACTCAGTCAGCGCTTCTGGCTTGGGATGACAGAGAGAGCACCGCGAAAAATTGTAAAGCGCTGAAGAGGAGAATGAAGATAACACTGACAGATTTTGTTTTAGAAACCATGACATCTAAAGTTATAAATACTGAAACATCTTAGTAGTGATCATGTGCTAAATGTTAATCCACTATCTACACTTTTCCAAGAGTAGAAGACTTCCATTGGCTTCAAGTCCGCTATGAAAAGTCTGTGGGATGGAGTTTTCAGGTAACTGTTTGCCACATCCAGCACGAGAGCTTCTGTTTAATCCTTCATATAATCGCCAGATGCTGTCCGCCATGCAAGGGACAGCTATATGTCAAATTGAACACCACGTAAACCATCGCGAACGGGCTTGCATTGAGTAAACAAATATTGCTACTCATAAAAATAAACAGGTATTGCTATTAACATGTATGCATATAATAAGCAACAATATGTTTCAAAAGCATTAGTGCAATATCAGACAGCACTTGTGAGAACAGCACAGTTATACCGTTAACCGATTCATTTAAGCAGTGCGTGCAGGGCAGGTGAGCGCTCCGTGTATCTTTTGCTCACTCAGTTCTGTTATAAAAATATATTTTCTTGTGATAACGGGATTTCGTTGAGACATATTTTCCTCAAGCTTGCATTTATATATATATATATATATATATATTTTTTTTTTTTGCTTGTTAGTTTGTTTAGTGTTGATTTCAAATACAATAAATATGTTTGTATAAAACTTGTAGTAACGGTGCTCTTAATTGGTGGGTGCGACTAAATTTTGGCTGATGTGCCTAAATTTTTAAAGTTAGGAGCACCAGTGCTACCAAGCAAAAAGGGTAATTTCAAGCCCTGAAACATGATTTAAGGAACTGCCTATTTTTATTTTGGTATTAGCAACTTAACAGACAGCAGAAATGTTGAGACGTCGTGCTGCATTTATGAGCGTCATCATCACTGTGTGAATATTTATAACAAAACGGAGCCGATAACAACTGCCTCCTTTCAGTTTCAGTGAAAATACGAAACGCACCCTGTCTTCTGCTGAATATCAGTTTTATTAATCGATAATAGCCATTATAAAAGTATAGCGTACAATACGTTTATACATTATAGGAAATAAAGGCAAGCGATCAGTCAATATACAGAATGTACGTGGTTACATTAATCATTAACTTATCTTTGCGCTCAGCCAAAACACGTTACCTGAGAACAAGTAATAGATTCCAATGACCAAAGTCAGGGAATATGTCGTTAGATAAAGACAACAAGATGAATGAAATATCCCGTTTAATAAATATAGTGAGAGTAGATCCAGCGGGAGATGCTTGATGAGCAGTCCGACTAGCAAAGCTCACCTGGGTAGACGGGCTGCAGCGCTTGCCCGAGAGTGTGTGTGTGGTCACGTGATGTGCGTTTTCAGCGGTTTCAGCGAGTGAAACGCTGTTGTGGACGCGGATCGTTTTCATTCTAAAATGCCGTTTTAAAACTAAAACGCACTAGTGTAAACGGGGCCTTAGTGTCTGTCTATGTGTGCGTGTGCAATATAATTAATTTAAAAGCTCAATATTATTAGCTTACTATTGAATTATAACTTATTTGATTTCCTATTGAATAAGGCACTCTTGTCCAACAACTTGCTTAATTAACATAACTTGCCTAGTTAACCTAATTAACCTACTAAATGTGTGGCTGAATACTAGTATCTTGCAAAATATCCAGTCAAATATTGTGCACTGTCAACATGGCAATGATAAATGAGTTATTAGAAATGAGCTATTATTAAAAATGTGTCAGAATAAAGCCTGTCTTGGGAAATATTTTGAAAAAGAATGACACTTTTACTGGGGGAGGAGTAATTTAGCCACATGTCATGCATTTCACATATACGAGCGCAGTAAACGCTTGTGGTTCACCTGCAGTCTCTACAGCTCAGTGCATTGACTGTAATCATAATGAATGTGTCGTGCCCAGCGAGAGGTTTATGTTGCAGGATTAACCTTAATTAAATATTAATGCATAAGTGTATGTGTGTGTGTGTGTTACAAAGCTTCACCTCAGACCGATCAATATCCGGATCTGAAACCGGAACCACAGTCAGATAATAGCGATGCTGTAATAATTGTTAATGAAGTCTGTGTGTGTAGTCAAATAATGCAGAGGATGTGTGTTATGGGGATTTTACCATATGATTTTAAACATGCCACAAGACTCAAATAGATCACTGGCTGTGTGTAGATGTGCGTTCATACAGTATTCAGGTGATGTTTTGTAAAGCTGCTCTCTCTCAGATGAAGCGCACTCATGTAGTCCATCCAGTGAGTCTCTCCATTCGAGAGCGCTGTGCATCAGCTGAAGGACTGTATGAGCACGCTCGGCATCTGCAGACGGTGTGTGTGGAGCTCAGCTTACTGCCTTTTCACAAGATGAGGTGCTTAACGGTCATCATAATCTTTAAAGACTGCATGAACTGGAAGCTGCGACTGCTTTATGTATTGTGATGCAGTTCTTACAGAAACAGAATATTAAATGATGAATGGTGGGCGTGGCTTGTTTTTCCCTACTGCGAGCTGATTGGATGTAGTAAAGTAGGCGTTTCATTCAATAGATGGTTTGGGAAGAGTTGTTACAACCTAACAGACTCCTCCTCCTCACCATTTCTGTCAAAACTGACAGCTGGAGGGGCGTGGTTAAGTAGGTTAGCCACGCCCACTACCTTAGACAGACCTAATCTGAGAATTTAATTGAAAACAAACAGAAAGTGCATTTGAGAATTTCAATGAAAGATTACAAGGGCAAGCTATGGTTTATTCTTAATGACATGCACAGATGAATTGTTCAACAATTTGAGCTAATCAATATGATGAGTTTTGATCTCATTTGTGAAAGTTTTGAATATTTTGTACATTTATATGTATTTACATATGTAGTTTATAATCTTTAAACCCGGTAATATCAAAAGGGTCTATAATGGCGGCTCTGCTGGCGATGGGTTTCTCTGACTGAATGTTAAATCCATAGTTTGATTAGGGAGCAGCGTCTGCGCTGGAGGTGTACATCAGGGCCAAAAGTGCCATCTGACGGAGCGCAGCGGTCGAGGCCACCCGAGAATGAGTTCAGTGAGGGATAAAAGAGGATTTACTGTGTGTGTGTGTGCGTGCGTGTGCGTGTGCGCTGTTTGCTTGCTCACATGTGCGCTTGTATGTGTGTATGCATGCGTGTAGGACAGCGTAAAATTATGAAGTTTGGGGTCAGTTTTTTTTTTTCAGTTTTTTTTTAAAGAAAAGATTCTGTTCATCCAGGCGACATTTATTAAATGTAAAAAAATATATAATAATTATTAAATATTTATAACAGTTTTAGACAACTGCTTTTTATTGTATGTAGTTTAAAATGAAAATACTCCAGCTATTATTGCTTTTATTACTATCAGCATTACTAATTTAAAAAATAATAATAGTAATAGTAATAATAGTAGTAATAATAATAATTGTAATAATAATTATAATAACAATAACAATAATAATTATAATAGTAGTAGTAATAATAATAATAATACTAATAATAATGATAATAATAGTAGTTGTAATATTAATAATTATAGTAATAATAATAATAATGATAACAATAATAATAAGAATAATAATAAAATTAAAAATAATAAAGATAATAATAGTAGTAGTAATATTAATAATTATAGTAATAATAATAATAATAATAAAATAATAATAATGGTAATAATAATAGTAGTAATAATAAATAATAATAATAATAATAGTAAAATAATAATAACAATAATAATAATAACAATAATAATAATGATATTACAATGATTTCTGAAGGATCACGTGACTGAAGACTGAAGTAATAAACAACTTTTGAACAGTTAATTTATATTGCAATAACACTTCACTATATTACAATCTTTACTTTATAAATAAATGCAGCATTGGTGAGCAGGAGAAGAGGACATTCAAAACATTTAAAAATCATACTGACACCAAACTTTTGACCGGTAGCGTATGTATGTATGTATAAATATATTTATGATGAAATGATAATGCTGTTAGGATAATTAGTGTTGTTTGTTCATTATGCTCATGGATTTGATTCTATTTGAGGTTATTTAAATCAGATTCTGCAGGAAAGTTTGCAGGTGCATCATGAATTGTTGGTTTGTTTGGTGTTTCAAAAAAGGTGTAAATAAATGCAGTGTTGAGGAGAGAAATGCAATGGCAGAATCAGTCACTCGTGTCCTTGGGGATTGTTTTCTCAGGAGAACAGTAGGTAATTTGTGTGTTTTTTTATTTGTTGAACATGCTGGCATATTTGTGAGCGTCTGTGAACACTTCACACTTTAAGTTTGCAGAAGAACTTCAGGGAAACTTTTTATCTGGTTTTATCTGATTAGTTTAGTCCAGTGATTTTATTATCAACGAATACCTGATATTAAAAAATTGAATTAAAACTGAAATAAAATTAAAAGCTTTAATACTAACCTGAAAAATGTGTTAAGTCAGAACAAAATAAAATAGTCATAATAAAATAAAATAGTTAATATAAAGTAAATAAAAATAGTGAATAAAAAACAAAACAAATAAAAAGAAAAGTAAATAAATAAAAAATCTGTTAAATAAAAACAGAATCTAAAGTAAATAAAAAAAGTAAATAAAAATAGTAAATAAAAATAAAGTAAATAAAAAATAAAGTGAAAAAATATATAAAGTTAATAAAAATAGTGAATAAAAAACAAAGCAAATAAAAAGTAACTAAATAAATAAAAAAATCTATTAAATAAAAACAGAGAATCTAAAGTAAATAAAAATAAAGTAAAATAAATAAAATAAAAATAGTGAATAAAAATAAAGTAAATAAAAAAGTGAAAAATAAATAGTTAATAAAAATAGTAAATAAAAACACAGCAAATAAAAAGCAAAGCAAATAAAAAAAGAAAAATAAATAAAAAATCAATTAATTAAAAAATAATGAATCTAAAGTAAATAAAATAAAGTAAATAAAAATAGTCCATAAAAATAAAGTAAATAAAAAATAAAGTGAAAAATATATATAAAGTTAATAAAAATAGTAAATAAAAGCAAATCAAATAAAAAGCAAAGCAAATAAAAAATAAATAAATAGAAAAATAAAGCAAAATAAAATAACTGTGAATCTAAAATAAATAAAAGAAGTGGGTCCAGCAGGTTGCTTCGGTAACCAGTGCTGAAGTGTTAAGCACTGATCTCTGCAGAAAATGGCCAACGAAGAAGAGATCAATCAAAATGATGGTGTGGAGAGTCAGAGCTAATACACACACCTGTGACTGATCACCTGCGAATCTGCAACAATTAAACAGCACACACAGAAAACACACACGCACAAAAATAACTATTGTTTGCACTAAGCATCAGTTTTTGTTCTCACTCGCTTGTTCGTGTTGGGAAATGATGGCTCCAGCAGCACATGCAGAATTCTAACTATGATCAAATAAAGACGCAGTGTGTTGTTTGGTCCTGTGGGGATTGGCGGCGCTTCCTAATCAGACATCCGTCTCCTGGCAACAGTTTCTATTAGCTAATTAACAGCCTAAATGAGGACATGCTTATTTCTGGCATCAGCACACAAAGATTAAAGGAACAGTTCAGCAGAAAAGGCAATCCTGTCATCACGAACACATCTACGTCACAAAAATCACACTCGCGCTGCTCTTTTTATGTTTTAATACTTTTAAACTGCGTCTCTGATGTCCCCTTAGTGCAGTGGTTCCCAACCTTTTTTTGCCTGAGACCCCCTTTTCCCCTGAAAAATATTGTAAGGCCCCCCCTTCACATTTAATGATACTATATCTCTCATATAAGTGCATAAAACAAAAATAAATAAATGAATAAATAAATGCAAAACATCAGTGGGCCATTTGTAACGGAAAAACGTAAGACTTGAATTTTAAATCAATTATTAAATCAATTAAATAAAAACAGAGAATCTAAAGTAAATAAAATTAGTGAATAAAAATAAAGTAAATAAAAATAGTGAATAAAAATAAAGTAAATAAAAAATAAAGTGAAAAAATATATAAAGTTAATAAAAATAGTAAATAAAAATAAAATAAAAACAAAGCAAATAAAAAGCAAAGCAAATAAAAAGAAGAAAAAAAATCAGTTAAATAAAACATAATGAATCTAAAGTAAATAAAATAAAGTCAATAAAATAGTCAATAAAAATATTCAATAAAAAAGTAAATAAAAAATAAAGTGAAAAATATATAAAGTTAATAAAAATAATAAATAAAAATAAAGTAAAAACAAAGCAAATAAAAAGCAAAGCAAATAAAAAGAAGAAAAATAAATAAAAAATCAATTAAATAAAAAATAATAAATCTAAAGTAATTAAAATAAAGTAAATAAAAATAGTCAATAAAAAAGTAAATAAAAAATAAAGTGAAAAATATATAAAGTTGATAAAAATAGTCAATAAAAACAAAGTAAAAACAAAGCAAATAAAAAGAAGAAAAATAAATAAAAATCTATTAAATAAAAAATAATGAATCTAAAGTAAATAAAATAAAGTAAATAAAAATAGTCAATAAAATAATGTAAAGACTTAGACCAGCAGGTTGCTACGGTAACCAGTGCAAAACATCAGTGGGCCATTTGTAACGGAAAAACGTAAGCCTTTGGCCATTAAATTGACCCTTTTTGAAATTCAATAACAACAATATCAGTATTTACAGTGGTGTAAAAGGGAAAAAACAATATAGGCTAGTACAATTTACTACTTGCATGTTATTTGATATTCTATATCAATTAGTGTGAGGATTACTGAGAGGCAAATCAGTGAGACTGTCTTTTTTTGTGCAAAATTTGTCCATTTTTGATCAGCTAGATCAGTGGTCCTCAACCGTTTTATCACCGCGGACCAGTCAACGCTTTACAATTTCGAGGTGGGGTGTTTCGGTTTCGTAGGTAGCCAGGCGACCATCAACCGTTTCCTCAGAGCATGACAAGCTGACAAACACAGCCTCATGGAGGCGCAGTGGGTATTGCATAATCGCCTCATAGCAAGAAGGCTGGGTCAGTTGGCATTTCTGTGTGGAGTTTGCATGTTCTCCCCGTGTTGGTGTGGGTTTCCTCCAGGTGCTCCGGTTTCCCCCACAGTCCAAACACATGTGGTATAGGGGAATGAGTATGAGTGTGAATGGAAGTGTATGGGTGTTTCCCAGTGATAGGTTGCAGCTGGAAGGGCATCCACTTCATAAAAACTTGCTGGATAAGTTGACGGTTCATTCCACTGTGGTCGACCCCTGATTAATAAAGGGACTTCGCTGACAAGAAAATGAATAACACAGTGACTATAGGAGGTCCCCATAAAGACAGCTGTACAATTGTGTGTTTGTGCAAGTCTGTGTGTGTATTTAAACAGCAGATGGCTGTATGTGTGTATATATATACACTCCCGCATCTCTACAGATGACCTGTCACACTTCATTATACTAACACAATACAGACACACACACAGGTCTCCATCTAGTGTGTGTTAGCAGGTTTCAGGAGTTGTTGTCGTTTCTTGTGTCAATGGCAGATCTCCACCCTCAGGAGAAAAACGTTCAGGCAGTTTCTCCTGTGGCTGTTTACTGGCCTCTGAACTCTGTTTGCTTCACACACACACACACACACACACACACACACACACACACACACACACACACACGCACACTCACACGTCTCTCAGGAGTTGAGTTCAACGCTCTACTCTGATCGATGTTCTTGCTCTCCTGAGACTCATGAGGCTTCAACAAAGCAGCGTTCCCAATGGAGGAGAATAAAAGACGGGGAAAAACTCAACTTACTGAAGTTCAGGACACAAATACTCAGAAAACAGCACAGTGAGCGTGTGCTTCAGTAGTGCTGCATGAGTAATGGAATGCAGCTCAAATCGCTAAACAGCCGAGAGTATTTAAGTAAACACACACTGTGATTATTAAACATTTTAGAGATGATTTTCTATAGTACACAGCTGGACAACATTATTTTATTTGTTAAATGTTTCTTTTTATTTAAATATTAATTTTTTGTTTATTTAAATTGATAAAAGAACAGTTTATTTGCAAAACCCCCATTTTTAAAATTCTTTTAATATTGAGTATTGAAGAAAACCTTTTTTAAATTATTTAATTCATTTTTTAAAAATTGTTGTGTTGTGTTTTTGTTGCAGCTGTACTTTTCTATGAACAACAAACACAATATCTGAAAGTTACTGAGTTTTTTCATATTTATTTATTTATGCATCTATTTATGAATTTATATTCGTATATATATATATATATATATATATATAT